CCTTCCTTCCTTCCTTCCTTCCTTCCTTCCTTCCTTCCTTCCTTCCTTCTTCTTTTTTCTCTCTTTCCGTTCCTTTCTTTCTGTCTCTGAGACAGAGTCTTGCTCTGTCACCCAGGATGGACTGCAGTGGCATGATCTTGGCATGCTGCAACCTTTGCTTCCCAGGTTCTTCTGCCTCAGCCTCCCAAGTAGCTGGAATCACAGGTATGCACTACCTTCTCTGGCTATTTTTTTTTGTATTTTATTAGAGACAAAGTTTTGCCAAGTTGGACAGGCTGTCTCGAACACCTGGCCTCAAGCAATTCACCTGCCTTGGCCTTCCAAAGTTCTAGGATTACAGGTGTGAGCCACTGTGCCCATCCTATTTTAATTTTTTAAACCTAAACCATATAGAATTATTAAAGCCATCATTTTTATTTCTCTCACTCTTTCTTCTACAATCATTTATACACATCTAGATAATTCTGTATATGCAATTTTGTAACCAAATAATTTTCACCTTTTCGTATGTGTATATCACCTCTTGACTAGATTAGAAGCTCCACAGAAGAACTGGTTAAAACTTCAAAGTCTACTCTTTTATAGGAGATGGGGCATTTAATACTTTAAGGGGTATTCAGTATTAGATAGGTAGCTAGACTTACATTAGAGGATTTATAAATATTTACTAATACTTGCTACAACCATAAAAGTTGACAGCTTTTGCAGGTTTTTAAGTGATGATGACATGAAGATAGAGACTAAAATAACATCTAAGTTTCCTCTTAAATAAAGTTAATTCAGAAAGCTTCAAAGTTATCTTATAATTTGAGACAAACAGGAGGGATTAGATGAATTATTACTGAAGCGAGAACATTTACTGTCTCTGTGGACATTTATGAATACAATTCCCCATATTGTGATTTGCCCAGGAATAATATGACTTCCTCCTGTGGTTTGAATGTGTCCCCGAAAGTTTATGTGGAAACTTAACTCCCAATGCAACAGTGTTGTGAGGTGAGCCCTTTAGGATGTGATTAAGTCATGACAGCTCTGCCTTCTTGAATGGATTAATGCCATTATCATGGGATTGGATTGTTATCTCAGGAGTCGTGTCTTTAAGGATGAGTTTATCCTCCTCCCCGCCCCCACCACTCTCTCTCTCTCTCTCCCCCTTTTTCTCTCACTCCCATGTACATGCTCTCTTGCCACGTGATGCCTTCCACCATGTTGTGATACCTTCCACCATATTATGATGCTTTGAGAAGACCCTCACCAGATGTAGCCCCTCAATCTTGGACTGCCCAGCTTTTAGATTTATGAAACAAATAAACTATTGGTTAGAAGTTACCCAGTCTGTGATATTCTGTTATAACAATGTAAAATGGACTAAGACCCCCTCTTATTAAGTGAAGCATTGTTCTCTCAGCTTACAAATTTCAGAAACTCTGAAAATTCAGAGTTGTAAATAAAACTGAGTTAAACAACACCTGAAAGAATGAAAGCAGTAACTACAGAATTGGCTACATAATGGCTACTTTTAGCATAGATGTATGTTTTAAGAATTTATACAGGAAAATTAAGCTCGCTTCTTTCACATATGGGATATTCAAATTTCCCTTCTTGACAGATTGCTCGAAATGATGGTGATGATATCTTCGCTTTATATAGGAATTTACACTGAAATTCAACAGTATCCCCTGTTTTTACATAAAGTTTTTCATTGTTTCTCCATCTTAACTGTATGTTATTTTTGTTCATGTTTTCTTCAGATATCACACATGGATCTGAAAGAAGAAATGGTACAATAAAATAAATAAATAATAATACATCTTTACCTTTCATAGAATAGTGAAATTGCATTTAAGAGTATTTTGGAATTAAAATGATGAAAAATATTAATATTTATTTAAAAATAATATTGATTGAGTTATTCTTGGTGTTGTTCTTAGCACTGTGTATGGGCTACATACGAGGAAATGAATGCTAAGAGATTTTCTCAAGGCCACACAGTTTAGTCAGTGTTTTGAGCCAGAATATGGATCCTGCCAGTATGAGTTCAGAGCCTGAGCTCTTAATTGCTATACTTTACTAAAAATTCTACCAGCATGAATGTTGTTTGTTTAGATATCCCTTTTTATTATGTAACTATCTGTGAATCTTAACTTTTGTGAAACTTTGATTTCTGTAGGAAAAACAGTGTTATCTTCTTCCCTGACCACAGATATCACTCATTCTTTCTTAAAATCAGTATTTTATATATATTTATATATATCTTATATCTTATATCTTATATAAGATATATATAAATATTTAATATATAATATAATTTATATATATAACACATACCATTATATGTATGTTAATTGTAATATATGTTTGTTAATTTTATACATATAATGTTACATACAATTTATATCTAATGTAATGTAATCAATTTATATCTAATGTATAAATATATATTTGTATATTATATAGTAAATATAATATATATAACATATTATATGAATACATATATTATGTGTATTATGTGTATAGGTGTATTCACATATGTTAAAAATATATGTAATATGTAATATATATTTCTATTATGTATACACACATGTATATGTAATTATACACTTTTATGTATATTAGCGTGCTTAACTCCCCACATCCTTGCCAAATCTTTATGTTATATATATTTCTTTCTTTTTGCCAATTTCCTAGCTGAATGTTGCCACTTCATTGAAATTTTATGTTGGTGTAGACAAGCATTTTTTCATGTTTGCCGTATATTTTTCATTTTCTGTTTATGTACCCTACATATTTTTTATATTGAATTTTGATTGATTTGTAAATATTCTTATGTGTTAAGCACCTGAGAATATTCCCCATAAATTGAGAAATTCTGAAGTTATCTTTAACCCCTCTTTCATTTGGTTCCTGTTTTTTACCTACTAATCAAGACCCTAATCTATCTCTGCCAGGGCCTTAAATAATTTCCCCATATTGCATGTTTTCTTGGTATAAAATAACCACATGTTCTTAGTCAACTGATAATTTTAAAATACTACATTTGGCCGGGCACAGTGGCTCACGCCTGTAATCCCAGCACTTTGGGAGGCCAAGGTGGATGGATCACGAGGTCAAGAGTTCGAGATCAGCCTGGCCAATATGGTGAAACCCTGTCTCTACTAAGAATACAAGAATTAGCCGGGCATGGTGGCATGTGCCTGTAATCCCAACTACTCAGGAGGCTGAGGCAGGAGAATCACTTGAACCCGGGAGGTGGAGGTGGCAGTGGGCTAAGATCATGTCACTGCACTCCAGCCTGTGTGACAGAGCAAGACTTTGTCTTGAAAAAAATAAAAATAAAAAAAGATACTATGTCAAGAAACTGCTATTAAAAATATGTAATGGCTCCCTACTTCATTCAATACCTACAAACCATCCAAAGAAATTTATGTCTGGTTTTGGAAAAAATTATTTTTTTAATGGAGTTTCGCTCTTGTTGCCCAGGCTGGAGTGCAATGGCGCAATCTCAGCTCACTGCAATCTCCGCCTTCCGGGTTCAAGCGATTCTCCTGCCTCAGCCTCCCAAGTAGTTGAGATTACAGGCATATGCCAGCCATGCCCAGTTAATTTTGTATTTTTAGTAGAGATGGAGTTTTTCCGTATTGGTCAGGCTAGTCTCAAACTCCTGACCTCAGGTGATTCCTCCCGCCTTGGCCTCCCAAAGTGCTGGGATTACAGGCGTGAACCACCACTCCTGGCTGGAAAAAATTATTTCTTCAGAGCTGTCTAATCTTAATCTCCTATCTCATAGGAAATAAAATTATTTTACGTTTCATATTTAGATCATGTTTCCTTGAATTGTCTAGATACCTTTGATGGGTTTTGTTGCTTGTTTGTTTTTGTAATTGTGTGTTTGTTATTGCTCAAAATACTGTTTCTTTTTGCTAGAAGGACCTTCCCACAAACTCTGATTGTCAACATGGTACACACTTTTTAGGCTACAAAGTTTGTTCTTGCTTTTCTTTTGGAAATTTATTTTATGATCACTGGCCATGATAATTTCTGCTTATTTTAAATTATTGGACCATCTAAAACTTTGCTGCACTTAAAATATTAGATAACGGCATTTTTGTCTATCCATCAATCCCTCCAACTTAAACCCTGGAAGTTACCTTTGAAACCTAGTTTTTCTACATTCTATCAAAATTGTTCAGATGATACTTCTGCCTTATACTAACTCAACATTTTCTGAGTTCAGTTCCCACACAATTTTAATGATATCCTGGGAGAGGGGACTCACGTAGAGTAGTGGTTTGAAGCACTGTATAGGCCATAGTGGCATTGGGGTAATTTGTTACGACAGAAAGTGGAAGAAAGAGACATCATCAGAAGGATGAATTTTCAAGACTATAAGAAACTTCTGGTCTAGCCCTGTGAATCGAGGCATTGGGCAATAGTGAGAACTGTTGCAGGAACAGATCCTTATTATCATGATGTCTCTTTTGGACACCAGAAAACAGAGGGGTTTATGGAAATTACAGTTTTCTTCCGCTTATTCTAGAGTAAACTGACGTTCATGCTTTTCCCATAATTGGTGTTATTAATTCGCCCATATTCTTTGTATCTTGTCGCTTTTAGTTTGTCATGACCAATAAAAGAATCTCCTTTTAAACCCCAAAAGTGAATCTCCAAGTTTTCATAAGGAGTCTACTATGTTAATTTTTTTAATGCCACAAAGTGCACATGAATTTGTGGAAACTTAACATGTATATTGACATTATTTTGTAGTAGAAAAAAATAGGGTGAAAAGAAGGGATAGTGAAGATTTGGAAAGTGGCTCAATAACTCTTCCAGATTTTCTATCTCTCCTGCCAGAAATTCTGGCAACATGCAAGTAAAAAGCCATGTCAGTATTAGTCAACTGGATGTTCTACTAGGGAAAGCTTTCAGGTTTACAAGTAGGACCTTATACAGTATTAAATGACAGCTTTCCTAGACCAACGTTTTTCAAATGGTCTCTGTGAGAAGTTCTCAGGTAGATGCTTATAACATGAAGATATTTAATGGTATGAGAATAGGCCCCATAAATAGCTTTGGTCTCTATTTATAGAATTTCATAATGCACCTTATCACACATAGGTCTTTAAAATTTTATTTATAGTTTTAAAAAAAAATTTTCTCACTTTGCCTAAAGCAAATTTTTCAAATGTTTCTTTGTATGTATTTACACTTGACAAGAAAGATTTTGACTGAATGAAACTTAAGGGTTATTCTATGAAATTAGTCCATAAAAACTACATTATGAATATTAAATCTCAGATTCCGAGAGAATATGAAGAACTCACCTAGGCATCTTGGTGGTTCTGACCACTGTTTGTTTCTGCATGTTACAGTTACAGAGCCCTGGAGTTCATAGAAGGACTGGCAACGGTACGTCACTGTTGACCATGGAGGATACACTGATAATGGGAATGAGGTGATATCTCCATTGTTAATAGATGGAGGGGGCCCACAATATGCTGTAGACTCTGGAAAATAGCATTTATTTGTTGAGAGACAGTCAGTATGTTAGTTTAAACAAAGTAATATCATAAAGCACCATGTATCATATCTTTAATATAGGGTGTCCGGAAATTCAAATAATTAATTACAGTATTTCTGTTATAAAGTCTGATTCAAAATGTATCGTAGCTCCTTTCATGTTAAAGTGAAACTCATATAAAATACTGGGAATAGCTTTTATTTAAGGCAGGAGAGACAAGTGAGTAAACTTCTGGTCTAGGTTCCTCTTCTACCCCTTAATAGTCAATTGTTATTTAATGAGGAAAGGTAAAAGTAGACAACTTTCTTACCATTTCTAGTCTCAGGGTAATTATTACTTTATGCAAATAGCATATACCAACTAGTATATGATCATAAACTTGTAGTTTTACTGAAAATGAATTGCAGACATACTCTTCTGCATTTACTTTTTTGATACCACATAATACTGTAGGCATCTTTCCTTATCAATAAATGTTTCAATTTCATGCTAATGAAGAGATTTGGGGGAAAACTAAAAAAAAAACAACTTCATGCTAAGATTGGTTGGAATACATTCCATTGTACTGACTGGTCTCCCTTTATATATCACCAAGAACATAAATATGAAATCACTAAGTAATCCTGTTCCAAATAACTTGTACCTCCTCTTGTTTCATTGAGTTACTGTCCCTGCTTTCTCAGATTGACTTCTTCATGAGGACACTAGATTCTTTAGCCTTTCAACTAGTAAAAGACCCTTCTTCATGAATTATCTCCTTTCTTCTGTAACATCAATTTCTCCCTCTCCACTTAACCATTCACCAACCTACAAACATGCTGAAAATGTCACAATTCAATAAGGTAAAATTTCACTTTATCCATATCTTCTATCTGGCAACTGCCTCATTTCTCTATCCCCTTTCGAATACATTTACTTGTTTCTCATCCTCCACGATCTTACTTTATCACCCCACATTCTTTCTTGAACACAGTGCAATTATTTACTCACTCCCTATGGAAATACCTCTAGGCAAAATTACTAATGGTTTTTATTTAGTTAAATAGATTGTTCAATTATCAGACATCTTGTCCAGCGCTAAGCACTCCTTGATGTAGCTGATGTACTGTCAGGTAATATTTTGAAATACGTGTTTTTGAAATGCAGCCATGTAGCACTTAATGACAAGAAGATATTCTGAGAAATGTGTCATTAGGCTCTTTTTTCCTTGTGTGAGCATCATGGAGTGAGCCTACACAAACCTAGATAATGTAGTCTACTACACACCTAGGCTATGTGGTGTAACCTATTGCTCCTGTTGTCCCCAAACCCCTGGCTGCAGACCAGTACCCTCTGTGGCCTCTTAGGAAGTGGGCTGCACAACAGGAAGTGAGTGGTGGGCGAACGAGCACTACTGCCAGAACTCTACCTCCTGTCAGATCAGCTGGGGCACTAGATTCTCATGGGATCTTGAACCCTGTTGTGAACTGCACACGCAAGGGATATAGGTTGCATGCTCTTTATGAGAATCTAATGCCTGATGATCTGAGGTGGAGCAGTTTCATCCTGAAAACATCCCCTAACCTCCTCAGTCCATGGAAAAATTGTCTTCCACAGAAGAGGTCCCTGATACCAAAAGGGTTGGGCATCACTGTCCTAGGCCACAAACCTGTACAGCATGCTACTGTACTGAATACTATAGAGCCATTGTGACATGATGGTAAATATTTGCATATCTAAACATATTTAAACATAGAAAAGGTACAGTAAAAATATGTTAGAAAAGATTTTTAAGAAGATGTAGAAATTTCAAACTTGTTTCTTCTATGAACACTGTTGAAGATAACGCATAGAGAAACTTTTTAAATGACAGAATTGGTTACTTAGCAATTTAAGGCTTTAGGGTACAGTGCAACAGATTAGTCATAAGTTCTTTTTTCTTTCTTTAGATAAAGCAAAGGGGAATAATAACCTCTTTTTAAGTGAAATTACTTAGAAATAAACTACTAACCAACACAGTGTGGTAATGATTGCCATCGTCCATTTTTACATACAATTTCTTTTGCTTCTGGAAGTAGATAGTTTTCTTTACAGAGAACAGCTACTTTTTCTCCATCCTGATAATTCACTGTGGTTGTCATATTCTGAGCATTAGGTATCTGAGGTGGCGGTGGGCAGAATTGTTCCCTTTTTTCTACAAAATATTGGAATTAAATTATATGATTAATAAAAGTTAAGAAAAAAGCTCAACAGGGTAGTGTTTCAGGATAATGGAACATTCAAAGACACACACACACACACACACACACACACACTATGTCTCCCTATCACTTTCTCTTTCTCTCTCCCTATATATAAATATTATAATAACAAATATTTTTTGTGTCACTATAGTTTACAGTTTAAAAAGTGATTGTTTTTGTTATAACCATTAGTTTAAAATTTTTCAGATGCTCTCTTGCAACTCCTGTTCATTATTCCTGTCAATTCTCTTGTATGATTTACAAATAAATTTCTGTGATTTTTTTCTAACTAACCCATGTGATTCAAAAAGTTATGTACATCTAATTTAAACAATTTAGAACTAAAAATAAAAATAACGATAATCAGAAATAACTATGACTTCCCCTAATAACTGAACCCTACATCTCAATATAGGATTTCCATGACTTGCATTTTCTTGTAAACATGAGAATGACTAGTAATGAACATAACTGGAATGCCTCCGTTGGACTAGGAATTAAATTCTTTTTTGGTTGTTTGGCTTATCTTAGGGAAAAGTTTTAAATGGTCAACTTGGATGCCAAAGCATTGTCTAAACCTCCTGGCCGGGCGCGGTGGCTCAAGCCTGTAATCCCAGCACTTTGGGAGGCCGAGGCGGGTGGATCACGAGGTCAGGAGATCGAGACCATCCTGGCTAACACCGTGAAACCCCGTCTCTACTAAAAATACAAAAAACTAGCCGGGCGAGGTGGCGGGCACCTATAGCCCCAGCTACTCGGAGGCTGAGGCAGGAGAATGGCATAAACCCGGGAGGCGGAGCTTGCAGTGAGCCGAGATCGCGCCACTGCACTCCAGCCTGGGTGACACAGCGAGACTCCGTCTCAAAAAAAAAAAAAAAAAATAAACCTCCTGACCTGGGCTCATGCCCTTACAGTGGTCTCCTTCATCTCTTCATCTCATGTTTTTCCAGAGTAGTGGCTACTGTCTACTGGCACTTCCCTTCAAAATTATTATATTGAAAGTGATAGATATCATTTTTTCCTTGCTATACTATTTTCATTTAAAAATCAAGATGGAAGAATGCATATCTACTCTTTCTTGGTTTAGCTGGATTAAAAAATATGATAATTATATACAACAGATCTTTAATAAATTATTTGAACAGAACCTGAGGTCAGTATAAAATAAGCCAAAACATACATATTGTCTAAACTAGAAATTTTTATTGGATTTTTCCTTATTTTTTCAAGCTCAGAAAGGCAAAATAGTGCAAATCTAAACAGACACTGTTCCTGTGGAAATCTAGATAGATGTCTGGGACTGGGGTCCACTGATGCGTATTTTATATTTTATATGACTTGTCCTACTGATTTACTGGTTTAAGAAAAGCGTGAACTTAAAGTACTTAATTCCAGATGCATCTTTCTAATCAACCATTAACAAGACCAGTCTTTTGTGATCGGTCTTATTTCAGTAATTAACTGCAAAAGAAGATAAAATTAGCCTGATATTATTATTGTTAGAATACATTTTTGATTAGCAAAGTTTGGTCATGAGCTTGAAGAAAGTCTATGAGGAGCACATGAAAAGAGGATATCAGACACATTTGATTGATAGATGGGTCAGTTTTTCAATATTATTTATTCTTTAGAAGCTCTTCTACTTAGATGTCTTATTACCTCTTTGTTTAGGTATTTTGTAAACATTTTGGAAACTAAACATTTTCATTGTTTATGAATTTCTGTTTGGTGGTTTAAGTATTTTTGTTTAAATACATAGTCACAAAGATGAATACTTATTAAGTATCATCAAGACTCTTTCGAGTGAGCATCAAGGCCTGTACTGCCAATCTAGGGACTCAGCAGTTACCTGCTATCAGTCTCCTAGATGTCCCAGTGCCGGAAAACAGGGAAGCTGAAGGTGTCTGTAATCTCGAATGTACAAATAATAATGAAAATTTCATCAACAAAGTCCGAACTAAGTGACTTAGATGTTCAAATATCACACAAATACTATTGTTTTTATATTTTAGGTAAAAGAACATTACACATAATGATCTCAGTTGTCTAACTTACTTTCTTTATAGAGTTGGACATTCTCTTTAGAAATTTCTGCCTAGTGTAGACACAGTCTATTTGAAACAGCACTGATATAAAAATCTGGAAACAAGCTCCAGTCTTGATTTTGACCAAATAACTTATTGAAGCCATGTATTTCTGATGCATAAAATGAGAAATTTTATTATCTTTCTCAAGAACAAGCAACGTGTGTAACAAATATTTGCCACCTAATAACGTTCTTACCTAATCTCCAGACTACTATCTACCAGCTCTTCTCAAAACTTTAAAAAAGGCTTCTTCCTTATTATGATACTTATGCCTCACAGTATTTTCCTTCTCTTTATGCTTGTAATTTATTTATGTAAAAAAATTGAACTCATATTATTATTCCCTGTATTTCAGTTTTCATCTACTCTTTGGTTGTAGAAATGTTTGTGTATGCACACCATTCTTGATTAGAGTCATCTCATTTAGACAGCTCTGCTTGTTAATCTTTTCAAAACATTAGTTTCATGGCTTGGATTAGTTGGAAATACAAGATTCTATTTCATTTTCTTCTGCTTTTACTTTTATTATCTCCTTTTCCTCCTAATATCTGAATTCATTTTTCCCCCTAGCTTTTTAGGATATACATATATACATATATAAAAGTATACATATATAAAGTGTGTATATATATATAAAAGTGTATATATATATATACACACACTTTCATAGTGGCATTCATAGCCTTAAACTTATCTACTTTGGAAAAAGTATATATGTATACTTTTAGAATGCCACATCATTCTAAATTTTGGTTATGTTGCACCTCATAGGTTTTATTATGTGTCCTTATAATTACAACATAGGTCTTAGTATTTTAAACATTACATTGCTAGGTTATTTGGAAGTAAATTATTTCCCTACCCAAAATGAAGGGTAAGGAAGTGGATAACTTTTTATCCACTTTTAATATTATTTGTTTGTGGTTATAAAAAGTGATCTATAGGGCTTTAATATTTGAAGTTGTCAGAATTATTTGTGGGCTGAATGGCCAATTTAAGTAAACATTTCACGGACACATAAAAGGCTTCAAACTTCTTTCCACTATCAGAATATTTCTCTTCCTCAAATAGAAAAAAATATATAATAAAATCAAATATTTTATAAACATAAAAATTTTCCAGTTGCTTTAAACAGACTGTAGTTGTCATTTTGAAATCCTTATGTGTTTAACAATATATTCCAGTATTTTTCCTCACAATTTCTAATGACCTCACACCTTTTGTTATAAATTAGTATTTTATCTCATTAATGTATATTTTATATGATTTCTTTCAAATTATGATCTTGTGTGTAAACTCCTATCCTTCCTGTGGTTGAAAATTTCTTTATTTTGGAATCATTAGTCAATTATATTGGTATACAGAATAATTGGTTGCCAGTTACTTTCACTAAGCACTTTGAAGAGATTACCCTATTTTCTTTGGCTTTTTATATTGCTGATGAGAAGTCTGCAGTCTATCTTCTGTCTTTTATTGTCATTCCTTTTTAAGCACTTTGTTTTCTCTAATTCTGGTTTATTTTAATTTAATATGGGTGCCCCATTTTATAATTACTTGTAATTTATAATCCTATTGCTCAAATTAAATGATTTGAATATAAGCCTTCGAGGAATGTGGGACTTATTCTTAGGGAAATAATTTATTACTCAAATATATTTTCTTTCTCAGCCTACTTTTTACTCAGCCTACTGTCTGGTCCAGAATTGGCAATATCTGTTAGTTTTGTTTCACAGATCATAATTGGGGTTTTAATTGTTTCTTAAAGTCATTGAAGATTAAGTTTTGTTCTTTTTTTACAGTTCTTTATTTCTTTTTTTCTTTCAAGGTTTTGTGAGACTGTAATAGAGTAAAAACAGCTTTACTCGCTCATCTTTACCAGAAAGACAAGGCTTTTAAAGAATAACATTTGTCTGGAAAGAGTATTATAACTAGTTTCTAACTTTACTATTAGCTTAGAAATTGTATGCCACAAAAAATATTTAATTTAAAAACATTCTAATTTCAAAATAATTTTTCTTGTAAAGAAGGAGCAACATCAACAAAATGTTTTAAACAAATCTTACCTGTGCAGTCTAGTTCAGGATTCCATTTCCCGTTTATGCAGACTGAGTGCCTGTATCCACGGATGTCTAAACATCTGTAACGTATTCTAGCATTATGATTAAATTCATTCCCAGATGACCTGAATAACGTTTTTATATTAACTCCTGATATTTTGCACCTCTTAAGTTGGTGTGTTGCTGTAAAAAATAACATTAAATAGAAACCAAACAATTATGTCAATAAAATATCTGAAATATTAATAGCATAATTATGTTTGATGCTTTTAAGCAACATCACAAAAATTATTCTTGATCTCATTGCATAGAATGGGCAATGCTGTTGAAAAAAGAAAAAATGAAACAAAAAACTGTATCCCATCTTTGAATGACAGGAAAGGAGGTCAGAAAGTTTTCTGAGAAATGAAAGTGCAAGATGGGTTTTCCTGGTGGGAGTTTTGACTGAAGGATAGTTCTTAGGAAACTACAAATGAATTGTTAAAGGCTCTGAAAATGTACGCATGTATGATTGTTTTGCACTAAACTGTCTTAAATATCTTCAAAACATTTAAATAATAAAAAGAGGCAATACATGGGTAAGTCTGTAGGAAGCAAAGCATCAGTAAGAGATAAATCTAGATCCCCCTTGAGGTTCAATGACTCTCACATTTCAAAAGCTCAGCAAAACCTCTGACTCAGTAAGTGAGAGTATTCTCAGGGGAAGAACTCACCGATAATAACATGACTGAGCTTCAGAACATACATTCCTAATAAGCCTACTTGTCTAAGTAGTTCTCTTTGTTAAGTTTCTTTCCCATTTCCCATAAACATGTAGATAGTTATGGAGCCTTTTCCTTAGTGTGTAAAAGTTTGGGATAATGAGACATGGAGTGTGCTCTGCGACTTCTATGCTTATAGGTGTTTCTCTGCAATAGTTTCTATTTTTAATTTATCCCATATGGGGCTAGAGGTTGATGTTTGCATAAAAGTTGATGACCATGAAGATATATGATCTACATCTTCCCATAACAGAGTTCTGGCTCCTGGTAGTGGAAAACATTCCCTCACAATAGGTCATCATGGATGGCCATGGACCAGGTATTTGCCTGGGACAATGGATGGCAACACCTACTGTAATTTTTCCCAGCAATGGGTGGGCCAATTGATAATCCAACAGTCCACGAGATGGAGAGAGAGGCGGTTCTGTTTCAGTTTCTGTAAGGAGAACAGCAGCAGAAAGTCTGCATGTCTTTAAAGTTCAAAATTAGAGGCTTTAATGTATTGAGTTTGCTAGAGATAGAACAAAAGAGGCCAGGATCTGAGGGTGTCAGGAAGAAAACCTGCAAATATTTAAGTGTCAAGGCTGTAAGTCCTGAGGCTGCAAGGTAAGAGTAGAGCACACAGGCTGATAGACTACTACTACGTACTACTGACTACTTCTGTGGAGGAAACTGACAAACTGACCAGAAAATTAAGAATAGAAATAAGAGAATTATGGGGACAGAAAGAGCAAGGATCATGCCTAATTCCTGGGTCCTAGTCCCCTACTCTTCTTATATGGAGGGACTCCAAACACTCTGGAATTTAATAGAACTCAAGCGACACTGTTATTTTTTAGGTTGTTCTATCTGGAACATGCTGAGGTAAAGACTGAGTTAGAGCAATGAAATAAAATATATTAAATTGCCATCATTTGTAGAAATACAATATCCAAATTAAATATTAGAATTAATACAGAAATTCAACAAGGTTACTGGAAACAAAATTAATGTATGCAATTAAATCACATTCTTACATATAGGAAGTATAATTATTCAAGCATATAAGTAAATAAAAGTTTCCATTCATCATACCAGAAAAATCCCATATAAACTGGTGAAGAAATCTGTGCAGTAATAACAAGAAATTCATAAAACCATATGGCAAAGTTTAATGTAAGACCTGAATAAATGAATTGACATATTTTACTTGTGAAAGGAAGAGTCAGTATCAATAAAGTTGTAATTCTAGCCAGATTTAAACACTTTATACAATCCCAATCGAAATTATAAATAATCAAATATGAAGTTTAGGAATGTTTTCTCACCAACACACATAGGGAGCTCTGTCCATAGTCCATCAATACAGGTAATCTCGTTATTTCCAATCATTGTATATTCATTTCTGCAATTCACCTCCACTGAAACTCCATGTTGATAGGGAGGGACAGACTGCTGAACATAACCATACTGAAGTTCAGGTATATATCCACATGTTTTCACTTGCTCTAAGAAAATGTAATAAAATGAGTGCTTACTCTGAAAATATTTTAAATATATTTACATCTGTATTTATATGTAAGTGCAAAGTAATAGTAACTGTTCTGTTTAAATGTTAATATTTATTTACCAACACAAGTGGGTAAAGTTGTCCATTTTCCATCCACACATTGTATTTTCTTAGGTCCTTTTATTATAAAATTATTATTGCAATAATATTCTACTACTTCATTGTGTCCATATTCCTCTTTTCTTATCTCCTTAACTTCACCATTGGAGAGCTGAGGTGGTGGACCACACGACTGTACTCGTCCTATTATAAAGAAACCATAAATAATGCTTAAATGGTCTTATAAGTATAGCAAAATGTGGAGCTACTATGTTTTTGACTTAGAAATTAATTATCTTTATATTGCACTTCTATTTTTGGGGACATGTGTTTTTTACAGTGTACATAGTGTATTGACTTCTTTCATTTCCTCAAATATTGTCACTTTTCATGATGAACAATTTTGAGCAAATGAAAGGAGAAAGAATGCATAATGAACACTTATAAACTGATTATCTAGATATAAAAATGTTACACTTTGCCCTATTTACTTATTTTTTGTGAAGTAATTGAAAGTAAATGACAGTGAGATTTTAGTCCTAAATTCTTCAGAATGCTATCTCATAAAGACATTTACCTACATATACAAAATATCTTATTACATTTCACCAAATTAATAATATTTTCTTAGTACAATCTTATATCCTCTCTGTATTTAAACATCCTGATTGTCCATCTTTACCAATATTTTGTTGGCTGTTTGTTATAATCAGGATATTAAGCTGTACTCTTGAAGATTTTTAAGTAGGTCAATAATCTGAATGCTACATAAAAGTAAATAGTTATCTAATATGTGATATAATATACATATGCAATGTATAATTATAAGTTTTATTAATATCTAGAAATACTTTGACATGGTTTGGCTGTGTCCTTACCCAAATCTCATCTTGAATTGTAACTCCCACAATTCCTACATGTTGTGGGAAGAACCTAGTGGGAGGTAATTGAATTATGGGGGCAGGTCTTTCCCGTGCTATTCTCATGATAGTGAATAAGTCTCACGAGATCTGATGGTTTTATAAAGGGAAGTTTCCCTGCACAGGTTCTTTTCTCTTGTCTGCCATCATTCGAGATTTGCCTTTCACCTTCTGCCATGATTGTGAGGTGTCTCCAGCCTCACAATCATGAAACTGTGAGATCATGAAAACTCTTTCTTATCCTGTTTTGGTGTTTCACGTATCTGAAACTGTGAGATCATGAAAACTCTTTCTTTTGTAAATTGCCCAGTCTTGGGTATGTCTTTATCAGCATTGTGAAAATGGACTAATACATACCTGAAATAATGTGATAAGCCATTTTTGATAAAAATAGTGCCATCTGAAGCAGGTACAAATCATCATTGTTTTCTAATGAATAATTCATATATGCAATGACTTGATTCTTTTCTTAATTACTTAATAAAATATAATGTTGTTCATACAATATTTTTAAAATGTATAAATTTTTTATTGAGCTAGATGGAAAAATCTTAACACATCTCAATTCCAGCTACTATATTTTGACCCATAAAATCCTACTATGTATTTTCAAACACAGAAGTAGAATTACTCCTTGATTAAGGACACCTAAATAATGGATGCAATTTAATTACTACAGAACTGCACCCTTTCTCCTTTCTAAATAAAATACTACCTTTGCATTTTACCACTTTGTCAGATTATAGATGTAATATAAGCTCCAATAAAAATATATAGGCATTATTATAAAAATCAAACTCTTGTTTCATCACTTCTAAAATAAATACTGACCTTTACATGTAGGAAAGTTGGGTGACCACCCAAATTGGTAACATTGAACTGAATCTGGTCCAACTCTTTTAAGATTTTTTCTGCAGGAGAATTTCAACACATCTCCAACTTTGTAGCTTTCTTTTTCTGGCTTAGCATCTACATTTGCTTCTAAAATTGGAACATGACATTCTTCTTCTAAAAATAAAATTAAATGAACATACATTGAATTTTCATTGCAGAAACAAATTTAATGTGTGCTATATGAAAATAAGATGCAAGGGGCTTCATATACAGAGGAGTATAAAATATATTCTTGCCTTTGAGAAAACATATAAAGTAATTATTTATATCCAACGACTATATCTAAGACCCCTCAGGCAAATTGGGAAATTGCAGCAAGGTAACATTTTCTAGGAGAATCTCTTCAGGATTGTAATAAGAAAGTCTGTGAAGTTACTAATACAGTAAATTATTTCATTTGTTTAATTAGCAATATGAGTTTTAATTTTGTTGTTTAATAAATAAGTTTAATAACTATTTGTTTATAGTACAGAATATGAAGGTTTTTTCACACTTAAATCACAAAAAAATCCTTCAAGTAACAAAATCAAATTGCAACATATTTAATTACTTTTTGTAAAATAAAAAAAAGATGTATATAAAGCAGGTATGTGGGCCGGACATGGTGGGTCATGTCTGTAATCCCAGCACCTTGGGAGGCCAAGGAGGGTGGATCACCTGAGGTCAGAAGTTCGAGACCATCCTGGCAAACATGTTGAAACCCTGTCTCTACTGAAAATGCAAAAATTAGCCAGGCACAGTAGTGGGTGCCTGTAGTCCCAACTACTATGGAGGCTGAGGCAGGAGAATCACTTGAACCCAGGAGGCAGAGGTTGCAGTGAGCCGAAATCGCACCACTACACTCCAGCCTGGGTGACAGAGTGAGACCCTATCTCAAAAAAAAGTAGATACGTGAAACACCAAAACAGGATAAACTAATAAATGTTAAGTTGAAGGAAATATTAAAAAGCAAATTATTCTCAATTTTACAAAAGGGTAACTAAATAAAAGACTTTTAAAAAACCCATCTAGGTTTTTTGAATCTTTCCATTATACTCAACTCTATCACTAATATGTTTGTAAAAACTAACTCATTATGAATATATTCTGATTCAATTAGAAATAGATATGTATATGAATGTGTGTAGTTTTCTTATTTAATAATCTTTCATTAAAGATTAGTTTATACAATTATATATTCTTATGTAAAAATAATTGACATTCAAGACAAACGAAATAATCTGAAGAAATCAAGCATACACAAAAATAAAATTGAAATATTTTCTAACAAATAATCTCATAAATATTTTCAAACTAGCTAGTTTTATGTAGTGTTATTGGCACTTTAATGTATTGATCACAGTTTACTTGAGCAAATCCCAAGAGAATGTGCCTTATTTCGATAAAATAAAATATGTATCCCTAAATCTCTGTTTTTTATTCCAGTATTTTGCGTGGCAGCTCTTTATTGGTTGTTTATAGTCTTTTTTTTTTTTAAATCTAATTGTTAAAGACAAAACGCCATTGAAAATAATTGATCTTATTTCTGTTCTAAGATGGTCGAATAGGAACAGCTCTGGTCTGCAGCTTCCAGGGTGATAGATGCAGGAGATGGGTGATTTCTGAATTTCCAATTGAGGTGCCTGGTTCATCTCATTGGGACTGGTTGGACAATGGATGCAGCCGATGGAGGGGAAACCAAAGTAGGGTAGGACATTTCTTCCCTGGGAAGTGCAAGGGATTGAGGGATTTCCCTTTCCTAGCCAAGGGAAGCTGTGACAGACTGTACCTGGAAAATCGGAACACTCATGCACAAATACTGTGCTTTTCCAGTGGTCTTAGCAAATGGCACACCAGGAGACTGTATCCTGTGCCTGGCTTGGTGGGTACCATGCCCACAGAGGCTTGTTCACTGCTAGTGCAGCAGTCTGAGATTGACCTGTGATGCAGCAGCCTGGCAGGGGGAGGGGCACCATCATTACTGAGGCTTGAGTAGGTAAACAAAGCAGCTGGGGAAGCTTGAACTGGGCAGAGACCACTGCAGCTCAGCAAGGCCTGCTGCTTCTGTAAACTCTATCCCTGGTGCCAGGGCATAGCTGAACAAAAGGCAGCAGAAACTTCTGCAGACTTAAATGTCCTCGTCTGACAACTCTGAAGAGAGCAGTGGTTCTCCCAGCACAGTATTTGAGCTCTGAGAAAGGACAGACTGTCTCATCAAGTGGGTCCCTGTCCCACATGTGGCCTAACTGGGAGACACCTCCCAGTAGGGGCCAACTGACACCTCATACAGGTGGGTGCCCTGCTGGAATGAAGCTTCCAGAAGAAGAAGCAGGCAGCAATCTTTGCTGTTCTGCAATATTTGCTGTTCTGTAGCCTCTGCTGGTGATACCCAGGCAAACAGGGTCTGGAGTGGACCTCCAGCAAAATCCTACAGAACTGCAGCTGAGGGACCTCACTGTTAAAAGGAAAACTAACAAACAGAAAGAAATAGCAGCAACATCCACAAAAAGGACATCCACAACAAAACTCCATCTGTAGGTCACCAACATCAAAGACCAAAGGTAAATAAAACCACAGAGATGGGGAGAAACCAGAGCAGAAAAGCTGAAAATTCTAAAACCAGAGTGCCTCCTCTCCTCCAAAGGATAACAGCTCCTCACCAGCAATAGAACAAAGCTGGACAGAGAGTGACTTTGATGCACTGACGGAAGTAGGCTTCAGAAGGCTCGTAACAACAAACTTCTCCAAGCTAAAGGAGGATGTTCAAACCCATCGCAAGGAAGCTAAAAACCTTGAAAAAATATTAGATGAATGGCTAACTAGAATAAAAAGTGTAGAGTAGACCTTGAATGACCTGATTGAGTTGAAAACCATGGCATGAGAAATACGTGACGCATGCACAAGCTTCAGTAGCTGATTTGATAAGGTAGAATAAAGGGTATCAGTGATTGAAGATCAAATTAATGAAATAAAGAAAGAAGAGAAGTTTAGAGAGAAAAGAGTAAAAAGAAATGAACAAAGTCTCCAAGAAATATGGGACTACGTGAAAAGACGAAATCTACATTTGATTGGTGTACCTGAAAGTGAGGGGGAGAATGGAATCAACTTGGAAAACACTCTTCAGGATATTATCCAGGAGAACTTCCTGAACCCCCAAGGAGGAGCTGGTACCATTCCTTCTGAAACTATTCCAATCAATAGAAAAAGAGGGAATCCTCCCTAACTCAGTCTATGAGGCCAACATCATCCTGATACCAAAGCCTGGCAGAGACACAACAAAAAAAGAGAATTTTAGACCAATATCCCTGATGAACATCAGTGCAAAAATCCTCAGTAAAATACTAGCAAACCAAATCCAGCAGCACATCAAAAAGCTTATCAACCATGATCAAGTCAGCTTCATCCCTGGGATGCAAGGCTGGTTCAACACAGGCAAACCAATAAATGTAATCCATCACATAAACAGAACCAATGACAAAAAACACATGATTATGTCAATAGATGCAGAAAAGGCCTTTGACAAAATTCAACAGCCCTTCATGCTAAAAACTCTCAGTAAACTAGGTACTGATGGAACATATCTCAAAATAATAAGACCTATTTATGACAAACCCACAGCCAATATCATACTGAATGGGAAAAAACTGGAAGCATTCCCTTTGAAAACTGGCACAAGACAGGGATGCCATCTCTCATCACTCCTATTCAACATAGTGTTGGAAGTTCTGGCCAGGGCAATCAGGCAAGAGAAAGAAATAAAGGGTATTCAATTGGGAAAAAAGGAAGTCAAATTGTCCCTGTTTGCAGATGACATGATTGTATATTTAGATAACTCCATCGTCTCAGTCCAAAATCTCCTTAAGCTGATAAGCAACTTCAGCAAAGTCTCAGGATGCAAAATCAGTGTGCAAAAATCGCAAGCATTCCTATACACTCATAACAGACAAACAGAGAGCCAAATCAAGAGTGAACTCCCTTTCTCAATTACTTCAAAGAGAATAAAATACCTAGGAATCTAACTTACAAGGGATGTGAAGGACCTCTTCAAGAAGAACTAGAAACCACTGTTCAACGAAACAAAAGAGGACAAAAACAAATGGAAGAACATTCCATGCTCATGGATAGGAAGAATCAATATCATGGAAATGACCATACTACCCAAGGTAATTTATAGATTCAATGCCATCCCCATCAAGCTACCACTAACTTTCTTCACAGAATTGGATAAAACTACTTTAAAGTTCATATGGAACCAAAAAAGACCCCGCATTGCCAAGACGATCCTAAGCCAAAAGAACAAAGTGGAGGCATCATGCTACATGACTTCAAACTATACTACAAGGCTACAGTAACCAAAACAGCATTGTACAGTATCAAAACAGAGATATAGACCAATGGAACAGAACAGAGGCCTCAGAAATAACACCAGACATCTACAACCATCTGATCTTTGACAAACTTGACAAAAACAAGAAATGGGGAAAGGATTCCCTATTCAATAAATGGTGCTGGGAAAACTGGTTAGCCATATGTAGAAAGCTGAAACTGGGTCCCTTCCTTATACCTTATACAAAAATTAATTCAAGATGGAATAAAGACTTAAATGTTAGACCTAAAAACCATAAAAACCCTAGAAGAAAACCTAGGCTTTACCATTCAGGACATAGGCATGTGCAAGGTCTTCATGACTAAAACACCAAAAGCAATGGCAACAAAAGCCAAAATAGACAAATGAGATCTAATTAAAGTAAAGAGCTTTCTGCACAGCAAAAGAAGCTACCATCAGGGTGAACAGGCAACCTACAGAATGGGAGAAAATTTTTGCAATTTACCCACCTAACAAAGGACTAATAGCCAGAATCTACAAAGAACTTAAACAAATCTACAAGAGAAAAACAACCCCATCAAAAAGTGGGCAAAGGATATGAACAGACGCTTCTTAAAAAAAGACATTTATTCAGCCAACAGACACATGAAAAAATGCTCATCATCACTGGCCATCAGAGAAATGCAAATCAAAACCACAATGAGATACCATCTCACACCAG